AAGTGGGAGGGGAGCTGTTGCATTGGGGCAAATTGTAGTCAATGTCATGAGACAACGTGTGTGTGAACTGCTGTATGAAAGTGAATTTGCTCCATAAACTTTCACCCAAATCACAATTTTATGAAAAAAGGAAAAATAAAGAAAAAGATATGCAATATTAACACTAGTCAAAAGAAAGCTGGACTGGCCTGGAATTGAACTCACTCTCATGGCTTAATTCTCAGCCAAACAATAGACAGGCCTATGAGCTGAACACCTATACCAGACTTGCACTCCTCAGAACAACCAAGCATGGAAGATCAGAAGGGTAGCGTTTGCACAGGGAGACAACTCAGGGGACGGGAGTGCATGGGAGGGAAGGACACAGCGAAGAAGTAACTACAGGGAGGAAGTAGGAAGAGAGCTGTTACACTGTGGCACCTTGCAATCAATGTCATGAAACAAAATATGTATGAATTGCTGTATGGAAAATGAATCTGCTCTGTAAAATTTCACCTGAATCGCAATTTAAAAAGAAAAAAGAAAGCTAGACTGGCTATTTTAATCTCAAATAGAGCAGATTTCAGAACAAAGACTACTACAAACAAAGGGATGAAACAGGTGATTTCCACAAAGGGCATAAAAACCCCCATGTGTACGCACCTAATAACAGAGTTGCAGCATACATGAAAGCAAAACCTGACAAAGGGAAGGATAAATGGAGAAATCCACAATTATGGTTGGAGAGTTCAACATCCTTCTCTCAATAAATGACAGAACAAGTAGGCATAAAATCGGTGGGGTATGTAAGACATGGAAAACCTAACCAACCAATGTGGACCAACCCCCACTTACACAATACTCCAAGACTTCATCCAAAACAGCAGCATACATTCCTTTCCAAATACACATGAACACTTATGTAGCTAGATCACATGCTGGGCCAGAAAGCAAGCCTCAATAAATGTAAGAGAATCCAAATGACATGTTCTATGATCACAAGTGAATTATATGGCACAGTATGGCAGTAAAACCTCTGGAAAACTCTAAATTTTTAGAAATTAAAAACACACATTGAAATAATCTTCTATTTTATGTAAATTACACTCCATTAAAACTGCCTAAAGTAACCACCAACATTGTTGAGCTTAGTTGTGGTCAATGCAGTGGATTCCAATTCACACAGACTCCAC